TAGAGTGTGGTATGCTTAGCACATTCCCTGTATTCTTATTCTATCTGTAACCTAGGTTTAATTTCTATTTGGTATCCACCATGTGCATTTTCCTGAGGTACATGTTTGAAACTTTACTCAATTGAATAGCTACTGGAACACTTGTGTTATTTGAATAAAATGCAAATACCAATTTTATCAGCCAATTAAATATTCAGTAGTGTCAATAGGCTAAATAAAGTCAGTTATACCATTTCTACTGGAGCAAATATATGTCATGATAAGAGCTAAGTGGCAATATGTAGATGCCTTTTTCAAATCATATCTTTCAAAGTGTGTATGATTAACATATGTGAAGTGTGTAATCATGAAGTCCATTCTTTCCTACAGGTTGCATGATTTTATCATTTTCACTGTCCACTATGGGAATGGGCACAGAGTGGCAACATTTATGAATGGTCCAGTCATTAGTTTTCTTTCATCATAAGTTTCAGAACATCCCAAAACCCAAACATTTGAAAGCTGATGATGCATAAGACCAAAAGATGTGAAGCGCTATATGACCCAAAGGGACCTTAAAAATACGCAAATCCATCTAAAGTAAACTTTGCTGGAAGGAGTTAGAACCTTAGTTTCTTATGTTCATATCTCGAAATGCACTTCCATACCTTAAAATAAGAGTAACAACAAACAGTTTTAAGTTTTGGCCACAATTTATTGGGATAAAATCAAGCTACAAAAATACGTGTTGCAATAAATGGGCCAAAACAATTGATAATGATTAAGAGAGGAAAAATGTGGTTTTCAAGGTTGACCACAGCATTAATTGTTTAAATAATTCATTTTAATGTATTATTAAATTTTATCTTAATTTCAACAACCTCCCTCCGCAATGGAAAAATTTAGGCAAATTTGCATCTTTTTGATGAACTGTTACAGTCCAGATATTTGTTTACATTGCAACAAGACAATAAAGTACCAAGAAATAAACAATTGCACACCTTGTTTACAAAGATTTTTTGTTTTGAAGCTAATTTGTCATAAACAATGGAAAAATAAAAAAATATTCAATTCTTAATTTAATAAATACAAATTATATTATTGTAGTAAATACACCATTTTGTAAGACGTTTCAGCCACTGGCCTACTTTAGTTTCTTTATTATCCTTCTTAACTACATGGTAGACATTTTGCTTTCACAATCATTAAGATGTTATAGATTAGTTCCTTGGTAATGTTATGACGTCACAATAATTTGATGTCACAATAACATGACGTCATATCTTTTTTTGGGCCAAAAAGGAACTAAAAGCAAACATTTTTCTGGTTTCTAGACAATAACTTGAACATAAGTGTATGGATTTGTATTGAATTGTACCACAAGATTCCATACCACAAAAAAGGTAAGATTTGAATTTGGGGGCTACTGTCGTATCCACTTATATCCATTTATATGCATTCTCTTTCAAATATATCAATCAACTTCAATAATTATTTAAACATCTCCCACATATCCTCCATATTGATGGACGTTAAGCAACCAACAATCAATCAATCAATCCTCCATATTGACATTTCTGTTCAAAGGGAAACAACTCAAATACAATTTAATGATAATCTACTCTTAAACACACAACATTAATGGCACCTTTTATCACTTTTCAGAACAATTCTAACACAAATTCACAAATCATATTAAAATAACACCACAACCACTTATAATAAAAACCCCATAAACAACAATTACCAATTCATGCCCAATTTCATTCCACAATTTCATCCCATATTATTATCCTTTTTTGCCAAAATATCTAAAAATCTTCTATTCATTACAATAAAATGTTGTTATCCTTAAAACTTAGATATAATCTTATTCTGCATCTCATTCCCACTACATCATCATTCCTAAAATTGCTAAATTATCAATTTTAATTTCTAGATTCTAACAATTTTACAATGTCAAGAAAAATGAATTTCCTCCCCTTGCCCATCACCCAACGTTACATTATGTTTAAAAGCTTCAATCATTGCCAGATGACAAATAAATCTCAACTACCATACACACCCATCTGTACCCCACTTGTAGCAATATCAAACAACACCAAAAAATTATTAATTAGGTCTTTCCACTTTTCTGTGGAAAGACCTATTGGTTTTCTTCTGATTATTATTTTTTTCTTCTTCCGCCACTTTTTTCTGACGGTGCTTTTTTGTTTCGCAAGATGTCGCTTAGAATTTTTGCATATGATATCGAACAGTTATTGCGACTTTGAATCTGACCCTGTTTAACCGAACACTTTTTATTGTAAGAGTTATCTCCCCAAACACTGTTTTTTTTTGTGTTCGCATCTCCTTCGCAACTGTAAAAGATTATGACAAATTTATGTCTCCAATTTGTTCGTTATATCCTCAGGATCTTAAGAATAATTTTGACCGAAGCGGTCCAGAAACTCCATATGAGAGTTATTTCCCCATCTGTATTTAAAATAAGTAAAATGTAATTGTAATTGGTAAACCATAAGTGATAGGGACCTAGGGTCTTTTGATTTGAGGTCCTTGGTCCAAAAAAAAAGAAAAAAGGGTCAAGGTCAAAGGTCAAGGTCATTTTTAAATTTGGATTTTGGCTTATTTTCACCTCTTTTCAAACACGATATAAGATATCGACAACATATTTTTACTTAATTGTTAGTTGCAACATGTCGTAACACATACATATTGGTTTAAAGGTACGCTTACATCAAATAAGAGTTTCCCCCCTCTTTTATTTGAAAATATGCATATGGTGATATAACTCATGAACCAAATATAATTAAGTCCTAGGGTCTTTTGATTTTAGGTCCTTGGTTGATGTCCTTGAAATTGAGCTCAAGGTCATAGGTTAAATTGACGTTCTAGATTTTGACCTTTGCTTTTACCTCATATGTATACATGATAAAGCCATGGGACTTTTTGCATTAGGTTTCAAGCCATTTAACCTTAGAAAAGCCAACCGGAAATGACCTTGTGTAAACCGGAAGTAGCTTTTTTTTTGTACTTAATTAATGTAAAAGTTTATAGAACCAGATATTTTTGGTATCAGTGTCAATTAAACGTTTGAATAATACCGAAAGTAACATTTTTCAAACCAGAAGTAACAAATTATATCCCTTATTTAAAAAATATTGTATAGAAACCATATATTTTTGGAATTAGCGTACAATAAGCTATCATTTGAAGCTGGAAATGACAATTTAAAACGAATTTTACTATTTTCATATTAAAATACATGTTTTTTTGTGGAAAGACCTTCAAAAGTTCTCTGAACAATTGGTTTTTTAATTATTATTTTTTTTTTTTTTCTTCTTCCGCCACTTTTTTCTGACGGTGCTTTTTTGTTTAGCAAGATGTCGCTTAGATTTTTTGCATATGATATTGAACAGTTATTGATTTTGAAACTGACCCTGTTAAGGCGAAGTGTACGTAATTGCACGCCTCTAGCGGAATTCAGGATAAAAAACGTGCGTCGTTAGTTACGCGGGTTATCTCCCCTACTCCAAGAAAGGAAAAATGGGCACATGAAAGAGAAATGACTTAGTGCGGTCTATCATGAATTCAAACAAGTATTCATGTGCTATCTCAAAACTTCAAAGAAATATTTAGAATGACTCCAATCAGAAATCTGAGTATCCTATTGTGAGTTAGTCTGACTCTATTACCACTGTTTTTGTTTTAGACACGCAGGAGCAGGTACACAATACAACTCGTGTTTATTTCAACAGAAGGTAAAAACGCCTAAACAACAAAATTATAACCAAATAAAAAATAAACCAGTGACAATTCTGCTTCTATTCGTATCAAATTCATTAAAATCAAACCAGAATTGACCCCATAATATTTTTTGAAAAACCATAGTTTTGAATGAAATGCACAGTGTACTGTAGATCCTGTAGCGTAAAATTGTAGGTAACGAATAATTATATTGCATGTGAATTTGTGTCTTGAACAAGAAAGACGTTGGCATGTCCGTTTTTATGCAATTGAAAATTTTATACTTTTTATATTTTATTATTTATGTAAAAAGTATAAAAGATACTAAGGGGTAATCGACCACTAGTACAACATTTATAAGCCGAAGAAAAAGCCAACAGCAAAAAAAAAACCCATCAGATTCCGTCCACAAAACATTACACACTCAGAAACTAAGAATTGTTCACTATTACATTTATCTCAGAATATGTAAAATCTATGTCATCCAAATCTCAGTTTTCAAGGTGCAGAAAATAAACAGGTGTCTTCTATTCCGTCCGCAATTTTTGGGGAAAGTAAAATCTAAATTTAGAACCATGGTTGAAACTGAAACTACACATGTATGATAAAAATAGAACGTGTTATTTTTTCTTAATCAAATTCCGATTTCGAAGAGATAGCGAAATTTTTTCTCTTTTGTTGTGCTTTTGTGTATCATTCAGCAGTAGTATAAAGGGGAAGAAGGGGTAGGGGTGAAGAATAATAGTTCTACAATGTCGGGGCTTTTTATAACCAGGCGACTATATACGGTATGGATTTTCTCATTGTTGAAGGCCGCATGATTGCCTATAACAATTGCTTACATCCACATCCTTTAATTTTAAATATACTTTACGACACTTAATTTCTTGATAGTTCAATCTTTAAACTTCAAGTTTTAGGTATTTTGTTGTATATTAAATGATACTTGGTAAAATATTTTTAAAACAAAAAAGTTTTAAAATTAACATGATCAGAACGGACGCTCAGAAAAAGACACCCGATCTACCTTAAACGTGGCAGATAGTTGTCTCATTTGCAATCATACCACAGCTCCTTATGTTCATATTATATTAACAAAACTGCAATTCATTTGCATTATATACAGGAACAATTTGTATGGCACTATACTAGGTAAACTTGTATAGCATCGCTCTTGGTACATTCTTATAGCATTACACCAGTACATTAATTTATAGCATATCACTATGCACAAAGCTTTAGCATTACACAATACACAATGCTCTAGCATTATACACAATATACGCAATGCTAAGGCTAACACTGGGAATGATCTGTGCTACGTGAAGTTAAAACTCCGATCTGTTTTACTTTGCTAAAATTCATATGCGGGTTCTTCTTTTGACCTTATTACAGTCATAAAAATTCTCAAGATAATATGCAGATGCAGTTTTCTTATTTTTTGGGAGTCGTGCATGTGGATATTAAACAAATTATGGAACAAAAAATTATTTCCTTTTTTACTTAAAATCTCCAGCAAACATTAAATCATGCTTTGTCATGTAGTTAAAGAAAAGGGAAAGCAATCGAGACAGGAAATTTTTTAAATAAAATTGCAGAGTTGTGTCACGTGCACGCGTGTGAACCTGACAAAAAATGGGCTTTGTGCGCAATCCCTCGAATAGCGCCGGAAATGGTGAGGATGAAAGATGCAGCAAATTATATTCACTTTTTTAAAATACAAACATGCAGAAATGAGATTTTGAAAAAGACGTGTATACGCGATCCCAATATTATAACCGATTATTTAAATACGTATAGAATCATTCTGTCAACGCTGTGTTTACTGGGACAATTTTAAACTTGATATTTGATTCATAATTATTAGAACAATACAATATAAAAAAAGAACATGTGGCATGATTGCCAATAAGACAACTCTCCACAAGAGTCCAAATGACACAGAAATTAACGCTTGAGCATTTGCAATAATTAGGAAAATGGGTTATACACACTCACGATTTTGTTACGACACTGTACGGTATAATAGCGTTATAAAGTAGAAATTGTGATGACGTTACAGTAGACATCAATAACGTCGCCGATTGTTTTTATTCTTTCCGCTAGAAATCAAACTTCCACAGGATATAGCTTGAAAACTAGCACGGTTGCTAAGGACTTTCTTTGCACCAATGGGTTCGTCGTTCATTTTTGAATCGCATATCGATTTTTAAAAAAATTCTGTGGAGCAACGAATTAGAAAATCTTGATAAAGTAAAAATATCTGCCGATTTTTATGATTTTCCTTATATATCCTTTGTATTTTTGGCTTATCATGCTGTTAATTTCAACAGCTTGTATCTGAAAAACGAAAACAGTTACCCCCTTTTTTTATTTTATTGTATGATGTATTTTTACAAGCAGAATCCACATGTAAAATTTAAAAAAATTCTGTGGAGTAGTTAATTACATACACTTCGCCTTAAGCTGAACACTTTTTATTGTAAGAGTTATCTCCCCAAACACTGTTTTTCTTGTGTACAAACCTCCTTCACAACTGTTTAAGATTAAGACAAAATTATTTCACCAATTTGCTTGTTATATCTTCAGGATCTTAAAAATAATTTTGACCAAAGCGGTCCGGAGACTACATATGGAAGTTATTTCCCCTTTTGTATTTTTAATAAGAAAAATGTAGTTGTAGCTTGTAAACCATAAGTGATAAAGACCTAGCGTCTTTTGATTTGAGGTCCTTGGTCCAAAAAAAAGAAAATAGGGTCAAGGTCAAAGGTCAAGGTCAAAGGTCAAGGTCATTTCTGAATTTGGATTTTGGCTTATTTTCACCACTTTTCAAACATGATATAAGATATCGACAACATATTTTTACTTAATTGTTAGTTGCGACATGTCGTAACACATACATATTGGTTTAAATGGTGTGCTTACATAAAATTAGAGTTTTCTCCCCTCTTTATTTAAAAATAACATATGGTGATATAACTCATGAACCAAATATAATTAAGATCTAGGGTCTTTTGATTTGAGGTCCTTGGTTGATGTCCTTGAAATTGAGCCCAAGGTCATAGATTAAATTGATGTTCTAGATTTTGATCTTTGCTTTTACCTCGTTTGTATACATGATAAAGCCATGGGACTTTTTGCATTTAGTTGCAAGCCATATGACCTTGAAAAAGGAACCGGAAGTGACCCTGTGTACACCGGAAGTAGCTATTTTTTTGTACTTTTTGAATGTAAAAGTATATAGAACCATATATTTTTGGAATCAGTGTCAATTAAACAGTTAAATAATACAGGAAGTAATCTTTTTCAAACCGGAAGTAACAAATTATTTCCCTTATTTAAAAAATATTGTATAGAAACCATATATTTTTGGAATCAGCGTACTATAATCTATCATTTGACGCTGTTAATGACATTTTAAACCGACTTTTTACTATTTTCATATCAAAATACTTGTTTTTTTTGTGGAAAGACCTTCAATTGTTCAGAGAACAATTGGTTTTTAATTAATTTAATAAAATGTTTCATACCAATAACAGCTTAAACTAAATTCCTTTATGGAGCATTTTAAACACTTAGCTAATATTTTCCTTTAATAAATAAATAGATTAAATTCTTGGTGGACTTGGATATGCTGAACATAGCCATGTATTTAGATATTGGATATTGGACAAAACACCAATTTCAAATTTTTCAGAACTATATCAAGGTTGATGTACCGGGTAGTGTCCATACTTGCCCCAACTGTTCAGGATTCAACCTCTGTTTACGTATCAAGATGTGCCCACGGAGCATTTTTTTGGGGAGGAAATATGTGTTACAGGATTACTTTATGAAACTTTTGACCCAGTTTGAATATGCAGACATGGCCTTCACTAAAAAATATGATTTGTGAGATTGAAATCATCAATTTTATTTTCATTTGAACAGGTTTTGAGGCCTTTTTTTTGTATACATTTTACTAGTCCAACAACATTGTTACGTTCATAGTAAATTTCCAAAATCCTTCTTGGTTTTGAAATGATACAATTTGCAATAAGTAGACAGAATTGATAGTCCTGTATACTTTTATGGTTGTAAATTTTACAAAAGAATGTTGAGGGAGCACTTAAATACCTCTTTAAATAAAATAAATGATTGTCTTTAGGAAGAAATATCAACAGTGTGTAGTTTACCAAGCCCATCTTTTGTTCCTTGATAAGAACATCCTATTTGTAACTGGCCTGATTGATTTACATTCAGAGCCCAAGGTTTCTCAATACCATGACTTTCATTCAGACAAGTGACTAGACAACTTTCCATAGATAACATGTGAACAGCATTGCTGGCATAGTCTGACACTAATATTAAACCTTTTGAAGTGGTAACAAGGTCCATAGGAATAAAATTAATTTTAGTGTTAATGCTTGTATGACCATTGTAAGTCCATTTTAGGTTCCCATGTTTTCCAAGGACAACCACCCTACCTTCCCAAGGAATTTGTTTTGTAAGATCTATTACACAGATGTCCTCATTTATATTTGTTGCTATTGCATGTGGTAAGGAAAATAATCTCTGATTGTTTGTGTCATACTCATATGTTCTCATATGTCTACAGGTATAGTCATACACAAATATTCCTCTTCTACTTTCTTCTTGTAGTGGAAACCGTTCACCATTATCCCTAAATCCTATTAGAATGTTTTTGTCAGTTGCATGAATTCCTCTGGCATAAAGTGGTGTGATAGAAGTAAAAGTTTCTATCTTACTGTCTGGTTTGAAAGTTGATAGACATTTAATTTCTGATGATTCAACAACCGTGAACAGTAATTTATTATCCTGTGCTTTTGTCATGTCAATAATATCTACTTCAGTATCATTTGCTATACTTGTAGTAATACATTTTGAACTTTTAAGTTCAAAGGATTTTAGTGTTGTTGTTTGTAATGTACATAAGATATTAGTATTATTTTCAAAAGTTTTAATATTTCGGATGCTGCTTGGTGCATCTAATGTAAATGATCCAGTGATTTTGCACTTTGGAATGGTTAATATAGTACCGAAGACTTCTTTTTTATCATCAAGAATTCTTGTTTCTGAAAACAATATTTTTTGTTCTGATATCATTTTCACTGGTCTTGTAGGAAAATCATTGTCCAGTTTACCAGAAGCTGTAAAAATAGCTGTTGCATTGTGGGATTGGAATGTCTCTTCAATTTGAGCTTTGTTTCTTGTCAGGGTGTCACATCTTTCTGCAGTATCCTTCAACTGTCTTGACATTTCTTCTTCCCTAGGCTTCCACAGCTTGTCTAATTCTGTGATGAGATTCTATCTTTGTTTAGTGATGATTTCTTTTAGTTCACTTTCCTTTTTCAAAATACTTTGTTTAATTTCATTGTATTGATCATTTTCAATGGATTTAATCTGTTTCAGTTCCTTTTCAAAGTCAGAATAAAAAGGCAGTTCCTGGTGAATTTTATTATCCAACTCCTGAAGTTCTTTTACCTTCTTGTTATACACTTCATCAATTTTTGTCAGATTATGAGTTCTATGGGATTCTAGTAGACAGACTGCACAAAGCAACAATTTACAATCCTCGCAGTAAATAATGCAATGTTCAGCATTGTGAATCGAACATTGAATATCTTTCAGGTCAAAATGACGAATAGTTTCACTTGCTCCCAAGTTACTGAATTCTTTCAGATCAAGCACCTGGTGAACTTCAGTTTTCTTTATTTTAGTATGAATTTTAATTTTACATCCCTCACACAGAATTAAATCACAATTTACACATTTATATTTTGGTTCATTTGAAGTTTCACAGAATTGACAAACCATTAAGTTCTGAGCCATTTTATACCGTATGAATTGTTTGCCTTTCAGACTTTGTACCTTATAATCTATATCATTTAATGTAATACAAGGTGAAACAAGTCGGAAAAGTTTTTTCCAGTTTTATTTCTCTTTTTCAATAATCTTTTAATTAATCATTCTTTCATTTTAATTCAGATCCTACAAATTTTAATTTTTTTGTAATAGACATCAAGTAATTTAGAATAAGAATAAACTGACATTGAACAGAATTACCCTTTGAAAATAAATGAACCTGTCCTATGATCAGATTTACTTCCTGGTTTAAAATGTATTTATAACTTTTTACCTGATCAACTAGTTCATAGTTCAGCTATTTATATATTTTTCTTTATTGTAGTTATCCTAATCGGCACTGGAGCATTTTTCTTATCATTTGAAGCTCTTGAAAAAACCCTTCTTATATTTTTATATTTACAGTTTATATGAATTTATATAACAAAATCAAAAGTATATATATAATAACAAGAGTGCACACTCTGAAATGTCTCGCCTTCTTTACTAACCATTGATATTATGTTGATAGTCCTAAATATTAAGCTTTACTATAACTATCACATAAACTTAACATGATCCAAGAAAATGAGGTCAAGGTCATATAAACCAAAGAGAAATACATGTACACCTTACAATCATTCAATACACTAAATATAGTTGACCTATTGCTTATAGTTTCTAAGAAACAGACTTAACCAAGAAAACTAAACATTGACAATGAACCATGAAAATGAGTTCAAGGTCAGATGAACCATGCCAGGCAGACATGTACAGCTTACAATCCTTCCATACAACAAATATAGTTGATCTATTACTTATAGTTTAAGAAAAAAAGACCAAAACATAAAAACTTAACACTGAGCAATGAACCGTGAAAATGAGGTCAAGGTCTAATAAAACCTGCGAGACTGACATGTACATCCTAAAATATTTCCATACACCAAATATAGTTGACCTATTGCATATAGTATAAGAAAAAAAGACCAAAACTCAAAAACTTAACTTTGACCACTGAACCATGAAAATGAGGTCAAGGTCAGATGACACCTGCCAGTTGGACATGTACACCTTACAATCCTTCCATACACCAAATATACTAGATCTTTTGCTTATAGTATCAGAGATATGGACTTGACCACCAAAACTTAACCTTGTTCACTGATCCATGAAATGAGGTCGAGGTCAAGTGCAAAATGTCTGACAGACATGAGGACCTAGCAAGGTACGCACATACCAAATATAGTTATCCTATTACTCATAATAAGAGAGAAATTAACATTACAAAAAATCTTGATCTTTTTTTTCAAGAAGTCACTGAACCATGAAAATGAGGTCAAGGACAATGGACATGTGACAGACGGAAACTTCATAACATAAGGCATCTATATACAAAGTATGAAATTTTCAGGTCTTCCACCTTCTAAAATATAAAGCTTTTAAGACGTTGGTTAATGCCGCCGCCGCCGCCGAATCACTATCCCTATGTTGAGCTTTCTGAGACTTTTTGGCTCGACAAAAAGCAAAAGTATTGATTTCAATTTTGATAGATTTACCTATCATTTACTCGAGTATGTAGGACAGCACATGCAAGTTTACATATGATATGACATGGCATATGTTTTAGTCAACAGAATACACAGAATGTGTCCCCGTTCCTGTAGTGTATACCTTTATATTTTACAGTTAGGGTTTTTTGCTTGTGAGAGAGCTGTCTACATATTCCATTATATTAATGTTCTATTTCTTTTACTGTTAACTTCTATGTCATTAATGGTCTCTGGTGGAGAGTTGTCTCATTGGCAATCATACCACATCTTCTTAGTTTTAGCTCACCTGGCCCAAAAGGGCCAAGTGAGCTTTTCTCATCACTTGGGGTCTGTCATCCCTCGTTGTCTGTTAACTTTTACTAAAATCTTCTCCTCTGAAACTACTGGGCCAAATTGAACCAAACTTGGCCTAATTCATCCTTAGGGTATTAAGTTTAAAAAATATATCCAATAAACCCCGCCCATCAACCAAGATGACCACCATGGCTAAAAATAGAACATTGGGGTAAAATGCAGTTTTTTGCTTATATCTCTGAAACTAAAGCATTTAGGACAAATCTGATATGGGGGTAAAAATATTCATCAGGTCAAGATCCATCTTCCCTGAAATTTTCAGACAAATCAGACAACCCGTTGTTGGTTGCTGCCCCTGAATTGGTAATTTTAAGGAAATTTTGCAGTTTTTGGTTATTATCTTGAATATTATAATAGATAAAGATAAACTGTAAACAGCAAAATTGTTCAGCAAAGTAAGATCTACAAAATGGTCAATTGACCCCTTAAGGAGTTATTGCCCTTCATAGTCAATATTTAATAATTTTTTGGTAAATTTTTGTTATCTTTTACAAAAGTCTTCTCCTCTGAAACTACTGAGACAAATTTTACTTTACTTGGCCACATTCATCATTAAAGTATCTAGTTAAAAAAATGTGTCAGATGACCACGCCTACCAACCAACATGGCTGACATGGCTAAAAATAGAACATAAGTGTGAAATGCAAGTTTTGTCCATTATTTTTTAACCGTTATAAATAGAGAAAATCTGAAAGGAGCAAATATGTTCAGAATAATGAGCTCTACCAATTTTCCATTTCTGTCAAAACTGTTAGACAAATTCTTATAGGAGTCATTGCCCATAAATGACAATTTTTAGGCTCACCTGGCCCATAGGGCCAAGTGAGCTTTTCTCATCACTTGGCGTCCGTCGTCTGTCGTTGTTAACTTTTACAAAAATCTTCTTCTCTGAAACTACTGGGCCAAATTTGACCAAACTTGGCCACATTCATCATTGGGGTATCTAGTTTAAAAAATGTGTCCAGTGACCCAGCCAACCAACCAAGATGGCCGCCATGGCTAAAAATAGAACATAGGGGTAATATGTAGATTTTGGCTTATATCTCTGAAACCAAAGCATTTAGAGCAAATCTGACAAAAGGTAAAATTGTTTATTAGGTCAAGATCTATCTGCCCTGAAATTTTCAGATGAATTGGACAACCCGTTGTTGGGTTGCTGACCCTGAATTGGTAATTTTAAGGAAATTTTGCCGTTTTTGGTTATTATCTTGAATATTATTATAGATAGAGATAAACTGTAAACAGCAATAATGTCAGCAAAGTAAGATCTACAAATAAGTCAACTGACCAAAATGGTCAGTTGACCCCTTAAGGAGTTATTGCCCTTTATAGTCAATTTTTAACCATTTTTCGTAAATTTTTGTAATCTTTTACAAAAATCTTCTCCTCTGAAACTACTTAGACAAATTTAACCAAACTTGTCCACAATCATCATTAGGGTATCTAGTTTAAAAAATGTGTCTGATGACCCCGCCTGCGAACCAAGATGGCCGACATGGCTAAAAAATAGAACATTGGGTAAAATGCAGTTTTTGGCTCATATCTCTGAAACCAAAGCATTTAGAGCAAATCTGATTGAGATAAAATTGTTCATTAGGTCAAGATCTATCTGCCCTGAAATTTTCAGACCAATCAGGCAACACGTTGTTGGGTTGCTGCCCCTGAATTGGTAATTTTAAGAAAATTTTGCAGCTTTTGGTTATTATCTTGAATATTATTATAGATAGAGATAAACTGTAAACAGCAATAATGTACAGCAAAGTAAGATCTACAAATAAGTCAACATGACCAAAATTGTCAATTGACCCCTTAAGGAGTTATTGCCCTTTATAGTCAATTTTTTACAATTTTCATAAATTTTGTAAATTTTTACAAAATATTTTCCACTGTAACTACCAGGCCAAGTTCATTATAGATAGAGATATTAGTAAGGAGCAAGAATGTTCAGTAAAGTAATATCTACAAACACATCACCATCACCAAAACACAATTTTGTCATGAATCCATCTGTGTCCTTTGTTTAATATGCATAAGAGAAGCGACACACAAAATGAGGTCTTCTCATTTAATAGTATAGATAATTTAAAACTGAAGATGTCAAAGCCATCTTTTTTAATGGATAGTAAAAATTTTAAAAGCCATTCATCTGCCTAGAAAATATGGACATTTGTAAATGAAATCTTAATTGCTTATAATTATTTGATAGACCAAGATATATAAGAAGGATAAGTAAAAATAATTGTTATAATATAGTTTTTCTCCTTTTCCTCATTCAGTAAAGCAGCAAGACATTTCAGCATGTGCATTCTTGTTTGAATTTTAGGAGTACACAAAATAATGCTTAAAATTTTCTTGACCAGATCAATTCAACTTATTGGAATTAATATGGTATTATTATTTTCATATATATTTTTTTTTTTATAGGAAGATATTAGAGAGCAAGCTAAGGAAGTATTGGCTGCATTATGTGGGGTGGAGAATAAAGATGAATTACTTGAACTGATGAACTCATTGGGAATGACAAAACAATTTGATACCAAGGAAGCAGAGGTAAAGTATTGGATCATTTGGATTTTTAGGTTCCAAGGGTTATCTCAGGTATGGAAATATTATTGACCTGGACTTCTTCAATTCTGCAGTAAGACCCATACAGGGGTGGTTTGGGGTCTGTGTGACTGGTGGATGTATAAATATGCAGCAATTTCATGGTAGATTGGGCTAGTAATATCAAAAGCCTCATGCTGATAGAGTGCCGATGTCTTTAAACATTTAAAATCCGTTGCAACTACTCTTTGAGATAAATAAAAATAACACTCTAAAGGGTTGGAGCAGTAAGGGCCTGATTTGGCCCCCAATAACGAGTCTATTATGTCAAAAATAAAAGTGGGTGGTTCAAGTTGATGAACAAGTGAGCAAGTGAAATGGAACAACTTTTGTATAACTTCTCTTATGAAACTTTGACACTTTGATTCACAATAGAATGAAAATAAAGATTTTAGTTTAATTTAACAAAATCACCTTGAAATCAACCAAATTTATAATCTAATGCATGGTACCACAAACTAAACATTCAAGTTATTATTTGTTATAACTATCAATGTTACATGTCTTTTTTGCATCTCATGTGTTATGTGTTTTGGGTCCTTTAAATTGAAATTGGCCTGTTTTCATTTTAATTTGTTGGAAAATTGAAATTAATGCTGATTGTGGTGTCATAAAAAAGAGGCTGATAATAAATTTTCTTTTTATATAAATCAAGCAATTCTAAGTTCAAACTTGCATGTTAACCTACAGATATGACACTCAGATTTTCTTTTACCAGGAGGAAGCATTGAAGGAGCTGGCCATGAGGTTAGATGTTCCGTACAGATCTGATAGTTTTGCAGACTGGATCAACAACTGGGTAGATGACGCCTCGTCCATATATGATAGTGAACCAGAGGTCAAGGTATGTTTCAAGTAAAAGTGGAGCATCAATGAAGAGACAATAATTGTCCAAATGCCCATCTGGTGGCAGCAAATTTGGTGTCCTAAATGTTATTGGTAACAAAATCTAATATTAGTGATCATTTTGTCTAATCTTCTGTTTGTCTTTGTTCTGGTATTTGTAGTCTGCAACCCCTCCCTAACCAGAGACTGGAATCTTTCACAGAATTTTGAGTCTTTAAACTGTTTTTGATCTGATTAAATTTTACAATTTTGCATTACAAAACACTTTGCCAAGTCATTTGAAAGAGGTAGCATCATGTATCTGCAACTCCTTCGACAATAATGAATTTTTCATATATGAGAATTTTTTTCTTTCTTTTTTTCATCCAAGTCATCTAACAAATTGGTTCAGCAGGTTGATGCACATACCATATCTGTATAACTGGGAGAGTGTTGGTATGAATTTGTGACTCCTAGTTTTGCATGAAAAATTAAACAGAAAATGTTTTAGTCAAGATCCAGAGCTTATATGCTGTTTTCATTTCTCAGAGCCTGTTTTAAATTTAGGCCTCTTTAGTGGTTGCCTTTATCTAAATGATTATGGGTTGGTATTTTTTTTTTGGCTGTTAAAGGGCTCTAGCTGTCAAATTCATGTTCACCGATTTGACTCAAATTCTCATATTAGATTTATAACAATGTAAAACATTTATCCAAATTATAGAAAGTGTAAAATAAACAATTTACAGGGCATGGGCTCGATAATATGTAGCTTTGTTTCCTGTGTAGTTTAGTCTAGACGCCATCTAATTAACTATCGAGATGACCCCAAAAACAACTGACAGTCACATAACACGATATAAACATAAACATAAATATAAATGGATATATGAACCATCGTGCAAAAGGATTTTTCTATGTCTGTTTGATTTCAAGTTTAAGGTTTAAAAAATAAGTTACTTTTCGATTTTACCTGTATAAGAATGATATTTTGTGGATCGAATCAGCCAATCAAATTTTTATCTTTGTTTCACTTTCAATGTTGACATTCTTTTATTTTATTAACCTAACATGCATCAATCATGCATTATCCATCTCTAGCTAAGGGGTTAAATTGAAGTTCACATGAATACGGATTCAATGAGGTCGAATTATTCACTTGCAAGTGAATATTACCCATCCCTAGATTTTCCATCATATATCATGGAAAACTTCATGGAATTCCATGGAGTATTGGAACCTGTTTTCCATGGAATTCCATGGAAAAAAATAAAGAGAGAAAAGGAAATAATAATATTTTCCATGGAAATATATTACATGATGTTACTTTTTCCATAAAATTCCATGGAAATATTTCCAACATTTCCATTTAAAATGGATTGCTCAAATTAACCTTTTGGCAAAATACCCTGTTTAACCTTATCTGTAATAATGAACATAAAAAAAAACTAGGTGCAATGCATTGTTTCAGTTTGGTAAGGTCTTTTGAGTCTTGCACTGGTCAGTAAAAGCAATAAAACTCAACCATCATTTTAACCTTTAATTCAGATTAATTTGACGTATTATGATAAATAAAATAAACAAGTAAAAACTTTGGTATATATGTTTGCACTGCCTTTTTACAAGAAATTAAGGTTATAAATGTCACTTTTGTCAACATGGCTTCAGTAGATCCATCTCGTAGAACAGCATTAATTATTTTTTGGAGTTTCATTTATTCCTCATGATACCTAAAAATATAATTTTACTGTAATAAATAATAAAATATTCTTAAAATAATGTCCTTATCAACTTTAGAGGGTGATATGTTCATTTGATACTTATTTTATGGGGGAAACTCATGCAATCAAAAGAAATCGGTTTAATCACAAATGAAAATGTTTATTTGGAATGTGTGATGTCTAACAAAATATTTTTTCCCCTTCAAAATCCTGGATTCACAACTGGTGTTTAACTGTAGAATACATTTAACCTCATTTCTGTGTTATATGTACCAGTTCCAAGAAACTGGTGCATGAAGTTTAGAGGTTGTTCCGGCCTTTGTCTTAAATATTTGTTTTATAATCATTGTATATAAATGTCATCATGGGTATTGTCCATGTTTTTAGATCTTAGTTTTGATCTGTAGTTTGTTATAAAGATACACTGTTTTAATTTTATGGATCTATGTCTCATTGGCAACCATTCCACAGATCTTAAATTTTATAACCAAATTACTTCATTAGTGGATTATTAGGGCACCGCCGAATGGCGGACGCCCTATGGTGATCAGTCTGTTGTCCGTTCGTCTGTCCGTCCGTCTGTAACAAATTGTGTCCGCTATATATCTAGAGAACCGTTATGATTTCCAAGTTTATACTTGACATGTTTATTAACCAACACCAGAGGGTGTGTCATAATGTATGTACAACTTCCTAGGTCAAAGGTCAAGGTCAAAAACTTTGGTTTTAGTTGACAACTCCGTGTCCTATGGTAAAGATCGTGTCCGCTCTATATCTTGAGAACCGTTATGATTTCAAAGTTTATAGTTGACATGTATATAAACCAACACCAGAGGGTGTGTCATAATTTATGTACAACTTCCTAGGTCAAAGGTCAAGGTCATAAACTTTAGTTTCAGTTGACAACCCCATGTCCAATGATAAAGATACAAATTTTTTACCACACATTATTCACAGCGGGGCCCACAGAGATGGCTCCCATCTCAATGATATCTAGTTAGTTATTATAATACATTATACAGTCTTACACAATCATCATAATCATAAGTGTAAATCTACTATCTAGTAGGTCTTTTCATTATGTTATTATGTTGAACTAAAGGAGCTTGCACACATTCAAAATGGTGGAATCCAATTCAGTGTACTTACCAAAAGATATGCTCCTAAATCCAACAGTTAATGCAAGTCATCAGAAAATAAATCTGCACAATTTAATGTCAAGAACTATTTGGAACTATTTCATCTGCATCAAATGTTAATTTTACATTTTGCTTGTTGCCTGCATATCCATTGCAAGTTCAAATTCTTAATGTGTTGGGGGTTGTATAAGGAGTTATCTGATTTCTTTGAAAAGTGCCCAAATTGAATACTGTTAATTACCTATATCTCAAATATTTTATATATATTGTAATAATTTAATTTTGGATGTAACGCGTCTTCCGATTGGTTGACGTTGTTTTGTTTATCAGCTCATAGACATAATTTTGTCATGTGACCTTGACGTCATCAACGTTTTTTCATGATTTACCCCGGTTTAAAATGGAATTAAGAATTAAATTATAAGAAATGACTGTAATATTTTTTCTGTCTATTCGAAATAACATAAAAAATGTGGTGCACACTTTAAAATAACCCGCTACGCGGGTCATTTAGTGTGCACCACATTTTTGATGTTATTTCTTCATAAACAGAAAAAATATTACAGTCATTCCTTAGATAAAAGATTATCCATTTATTGTTCATTTACCATCTTTATGTTTTAAGTAATAATAATTGCACAAAAATGTATTAATCCATGTGCTACCCTACATTTGGCCTCACACTGTATGTTCATATCAATTCCTGTCCACTACACAAAGATTAATGAAAAACAGATGGCACATTACATTTCTTTCACTGGCTCACATGTCTATTTGATGATAAAGAATTAATGCATGGAAATAATTTGTGTGTACATTTTTTCCATGCTTAAGTCACCATTCAACCCTCTTTCCATCTCAAAAATATTCTAAGTCAAGATTCTATCCTTTTTTCCATGATAAAAATATTCTAAGTCAAGATTCCATCCTCTTTTCCATCTCAAAAATATTCTAAGTCCACCTTCCATCCTCTTTTCCATCTAAAAAGTTTTATTAGTCTACTTTCCATCCCATTTTCCATCCAAAAAGTATTTTTTCCATGGAATTCCATGGAAAGTTTTCCATCTTATCATGGAAAATGATGGAATAAGTGACACATATAAGTTTTCCATCAGTGATGGAATATTTTTCTTTCATGGAAAAAACGAAATTTCCATCAGTTTCCATCATTTTTTCATGGAAAAAGTTGAGCTGCATGGAAAAACTAGGGATGGGAATTCATCATCGATGTTTCTTAGCTTATTTTGACAAAATTGAACCATACTGGCTGCTAAAAGCGAATTATTATTTCATTATTTTACTTTCATTAATGATTGAACCAAAAAAATCAGAATTTAAATGTTTTATGTATCTGGTAGCTAGTGCCCCTTTATGAACTTTGGTATTCATGGCAGGTTGTTGTTATTACCTGTAAGATTTGTTTTCTTGCTTCATTTTTTTGTTTACTACTCTCTCATTGATGTCTACACCACATTTAATTTTGTATATGTCTGAAATGAATTGGTATCTTCAATGACTATAAGTTGATAGTGAAAATATATATATCAGTTTTTATTTTGGTAGTTGGATGATATAGACAAAGCATGGGATGGTAGACAGCGTAAGTGGAAACCAGAGTCTCTGTACCTTACTGAATCTGCCAGTCGAGCTTCCACTAGGATGAGAGAGTTGTCTTTCCTTAGTAAAGGATCACGTAAGTATTGGCCATATGGAAATGCTAATATTTAATTTTGTTTTTCAATATTTAAGCGGTTGAAATTGTGTTTATTTTCTAATTTTATATGAAGTATTTATTTTCCCCTGTTCAACCATCTATGGTACCATTAGTTTTTTCGTTTGAATTATTTCACATTTTCCCTCTCAGGGCCTTTTACAGTCCACTATACAGTATGGGTTTTTCTCAATGTTCACGGTTGTATGATTGCCTATAATTGCTTACATCCATGTCATTTGAACTCTGGTGGATAGTTGTCTCATTGCAACTATACCACATCTCTTTAATTTTTATACTACTAGATGATAGAATGGCCAGAATATTTTTTACAGTAGATTATATAAAATTATGGGTTTTGAAATTATTAGTTCAAATGTGAGTGTATGCAGAATTTCCAAAAAATTTATGAAATCATAAGACTTGGTGTATTCACAGCTGCCATCTTCAAAACCAGTTTCCAATATATCCTTGAAATTGCTCTGGGCCAAAGAGTAATTCTTATAAAAATCTTGGTTTATTTCATTATATTTAAATATCAAGCCTTTTAAAAAAAATCTAGACAAGATGATAAACACTCCTTTGGAATGTTTATGATAATTGTAATTTTAGTTTGTATTTTGGATTTTGCAAAAAAAAAAAGGGGTTTCAGATATAATGGATACACCTTAAGGTTGTGATGTTAGGCATGGTGGTTACAGCTACATATCATACTATTTATTGAGATTTTTTTTATAGTTTTCATTATTTATGAGGGTCAACAGCATGAAAAGACATGCTGATTTGTGATGAAATTGTTACTTACACTGCACATATATATTTCACACAGTGCTTTGTAAGAACAGTATAAGAATAAGATACTTTATAAGTTTTTGATATGTATGGAGTTCCTCAACTGCAACCCATCAAATTTTTATAGAAGTTCCTTTCTACCCCCCAATACAATTATTTCGGGAACAGCCCACTGAATTTCTTTCCATAGTTATTTGAATTGAATATAGATTGCTGTTAAGGCTTTTATTTCTCAACTTCTGAAAGAAAAATTGTTCTTTATATGAGAGTGTAAATCAAAAATATAATAGGATATTACTTCTTATATAAATCTGATGAATACTTTAAGAGTTGGGTCTTTTTTTATGCCTCTGCCGTAGGCGACGGCGCATTAAGTGTTAACCTTGACGGTCTGTCTTTCTGTCCGTTCCATTTTTGGGTAAAGATAGCATGAAATGCAATCAAAACCCTATGGTACTGACATTCTATACATCCTATCCAGAAATTTATCAATGAAATATATGCTCAGATATTCAAGTTACAAATTATGATGTTATACTGGTCAAGACAATTACATAACTTGTGCAAGGTGCAGGAATCTAATATCTGTTCTAAAAATGATGTCATTGTTAAAGTAATCTTTAAAATTGGAGTTATCTTCTTTTGTCCATAATTGTAGTTGAATCAACTACAACCAATGCTTTATACAATGCAATGTTTAATTTGACTGCCCACTGATAGATTAAAGCAATCTTTACCCTTCTGTGCTTACAAGCACTTTGATTAGCTCACCTGGCCCAAAGGACTAAGTGAGCTTTTCTCATCACTTGGTGTCTGGTGTTGTCTGTCGTTGTCGTTAACTTTTACAAAAATCTTCTCTGAAACTGCTGAACCAAATTTAACCAAACTTGGCCACAACCATCATTATTGTATCTAGTTGATAAAATGTGTCTGATGACCCCTCCTACCAACCAAGATTGCCGACATGGCTTAAAATAGAACATAGGGGTAAAATGCAAGTTTTGCATATTATTTTGAAAACCCCTATGAAAAGACAAAATCTGACAAGGGCAGAAAATGTTGGGAATGTTAAGCTGTACCTTTTGTTTATTTCAGTCATAACTGTCAGACAACTTCTTGTAGGAGTTATTGCCCTTAGATGATGAATTTTACCATTTTTCAAAATTTTCGTCTTGAAAATTATAATAGATAGATAGAAACTTTGATAAGCAAAAATGATTCGCAAGACAAGAGCTACAAAGAAGTCAACATGGCCGTAATCTTTAGTCGACTCCTTATCAGGGTGATTGCTTTATAATGACGATTTTTACTTTTTTTTTGCATTTCAGCAAGACAAGATCCACGAATAAGCCACAATGGCCAAAATCTGCAACTGACTCATTATTGGAGTTATTGCCCTTTAATTATAATTTTAAATGTTTTTTGCCTATTATCTTGAAAACTATAATAGATAAATAGAAACTTTAATCAGGAAAAATTATCAGCAGGATAAGATCTACAAATATGCCAACATGACTGAAATTGTCAGTTAACTCTTAATAGAGTTATTCCCCTTTAATGATGATTTTTACTAAAAAGTGGCCATTGTTGAAGATGCAAGTGAGCGACACAGGCTCTTTAGAGCCTCTAGTTGTTTGTTTGAAGCTTGAGTGGGGGCATTTGTGTCCTCAGATACATTCTTCTTTTATTTTTGTTTTTAATTGAAGTAACAGACTAATCCAAGTAAATTTGATAAGGGGGTTGGACCTTACATCAGGAGATTTTATTACCTCATACTTTCCCTACAGAAAACATCAAAATTTTGTGATTATCATACAATTCATAGTTCATTACTACTAAAAATATTTGGTCCTCTGCAGTTTAAAACAGTAGAAATGATCAAGTTCAGTCAATTCTTCTAAACTGGCATCAAGTCCAATAGAGGTTTTAAAAGAGATAATAATTGTGTTCCTCAATTTGAGACCCAAGGAACAAATAAATTTTTGATTTCTGCTTTATTGAACCCATTTCGAAGTACCATAATTAGGGCATGAAACAATTTTAGTTGATACTTAATTTGTCATGGGTGATTAAGAGCAAATGTAGTTTGCATGGTTAGTTTATGCAAAGTGTAACTTCTTCCAGCAATAAGAGGTTTGACTGATCTTTCTGGTACCCTTAGTGGATATGATGAATACCAGTCAGATTACTCACACAGTGATGAGGAAGCTGACATTCACTCAACCATGACAAATTACAAACAAAGGGATCAGGAAGGTCAAAGTTTAATAGTAGAAGACTATGACCCGGAATATACTAAAAATTTACTCTTGAATGATTTGATGAGGGAAAATAATGATGGAAATTTTGGAAATGGTGATAAAATTCTTCAAGAGAGGAGTATGGAGAACATCAATGATATTGTAATTGAGGATAAAGTTGTTTTAAATCGTCCAAACTCAAATGTGGATATGACTGAAGACGTCATTATGGAAGATGCAACTACACAGACATTTGATAAAGGAATGGACAGTTCTGAAAGTCAGAAAAAAACAAATGGTCTGGATTCTGATCAAGTTGCTCGAGAGGGTATACAGAATCTAAGCATGTGCGTGCGACTTACATGTGTACTACTTGTTGATTGATGCATGCTTACTACAAGATAATGCTTAGAATTATAATCCTTAGTGCTTGCTTGCATGTTGCTTGGTGTTTAGTATTTGCATGTGTAATTTAGATATATTGTGTATGCTTTGTAATGTTCTAATTCTGCAGTATTGTTGCCAAGGTTTGTCAGACATTACACAAATTTAATTAGTTATGTGTGGGCTGCTAAACGGTTTTTCTGTACTTGTCTAAATGACTAGTTGGAATCAGAATACATGATTACTGCTTGTGCTTTTTGTGACCTTTATTATGTGCCCTTATTTTCAAATTACCTATGTTCAGAATATTGACATTTCCAACATGCAATTCCCTTTATGATACAGTTTATTTTAATGACCTACAAAACCTCTTGCAACTGCTGTTATGTTTTGTGTATCAGTTTGACACAAAATTGTCTTATAATTGTTTGCTATTTTGTATAAGTTCTTTTGTTTAAAAAATTTGTTACTGGTCTCAATTTCTCTTTCTTCCAAGGATAACAAGAGTATTGAAGTCCAAAGAAAAGTACCAGTTACAAGCCTGACTTTTTTTATTATGCCCACGCCGCTAGGCGAAGGGGGCATTAAGTGTTACCCTTGTCCATCCTGTACGTCCCCAAAATTGGTTTCCATTCTCTAACTTTAGTTTTCCTCAACCAAATATTATAACACTTATACACAATGCTTATTACCAAAACGCCACAACCAAATATTATTAAACTTATACACAATGCTTATTACCAAAAAAAACTTATCAAGTTCGAAATTGGGTGGTGTCACTTTTACTGTTCATGAGTTATGTCCCTTTATAAACATAAAAATTGCTGAATTTTTCATTTCTGTTTTCAAACTTTAGTTTGCCTCAACCAAATGTTATGAAACTTATTTACAATGCTTAGTACCACAAAACACAGATCAAGTTTGAAATTAGGTGGCATCACTTTTACCATTCTTGAGTTATGCCCCTTTATAGATGAAAAAATTGCTAAATCTGTCGTTTTCATTCTCCTTAACCAAATGTTATGAAACTTATATAGAATGCTTGTTACCACAAAACTCAGATCAAGTACAACTTTTGGTAGCGTCACTTTTACTGTTCTTCATGATCAGTTATGTCCCTTTATAAGGTTATATGCAAGCACCGGCATCATGTACGTATGTCCAATGGACACATTACCCATCTATTTGTTCTTATCTTGCAGCTTTTTTGTATGAGGGTCTTGATGGGGTTTACAGAATAGAGAATAATGGGCCAAATCTACAGAAAAATGGGCATCTAAAATAAAGAATAGAGAAAATAGGCCCAAAAATTGAAGAATAGAGAATAATTGACAAAAAAATATAAAGAGTAGAAAAATGAAGGACCCCCATCCAGACCCTCTTGTATGCTTCTTAACATCTGCTGTTTTTTAGTTGTATGTATTTTATTCATTGGGAACTAGACATACTTAGCTATTTAAAAGTAAACAATAAGGGGAGGGGAGGGACTACAAAAACAAAGACATAAACTTGACCACAGGGACCTACCGTGCTCCCTGCAACTCAGAGGCATGGATACTTCTACAACAATTAATTAAACATTTTAAATACTTTTGTTTCAAATTTTGTTGATTGAAAAATTGAATATAACTAGTTGTCTTTGACGAAGATGCATGTTTGTCTCAACAAAAACAAAAAGAAACAAAACAAAAATTGATGACATTTAAATACTGTTAAAAAGAAGATATCTTCAAGTCGAATAGCCTTGACTTAATAGATAATAATATTTTTGTTTATGATTGATAAGATTATATCATATTATTCAAACAATACTATAGGTCTTTTTAGTTCATGGTGACATTACCGTGACAATTCACACACTACGATATATATAGATATTGAACAAAGTAGATCCCCACTTAGATTGATGTGTGGTTTAGTGTTGAAGTGGTTTATAGTAACTATTCCTCTTATGTTTTATTACTTATTCTGGCTTGCTATGTTTTATTTCAATTTATTCACTATTTCAAATAAAATTTTGCTTTAAGAAAACAGTCAATAATGATTCAGGCCAACGATTTAAAAAAAAAAATATTAAAAAGAAGTTACCTTGTTTAGAAAAAGAAAAGAACAAAAGTAACCTTTTTAAAATAAAGAAAAGAAAAGTAACCTCATTTGAAAAAAAAATTCAAAACTTGGAAACCTTGTTTGAAAAAAAATATACTGGTAGGAAACTTGAAAACTTATTTGAAAAAAAAAAAAAATAGGAAACTTGGAAACCTTAATGAAAAAAAAAAAAAATAGGAAACTTGGAAACCTTAATGAAAAAAATACTTTGTGTTAGGATGCTATAGTGTTATATATATAAAGAATATCAATGATATTTGACAGATTTACATTTATTGCCACATCTCTTTATAGGTACTCCTATACAGGAATTAGACGAGAATGATGTAGAACAGTTAAGGATAGAAGATCTTGAAAAGTAAGTACATGTGTGGTGTGGAAATTGAAATGCATGAACAAAAGGAAATGGAAGTTTACCAAGTTGCTTTGAATTTGGTTATGAGGAAAAGGAGGAATGGGGTATATGTTTAATAAAGACAATAATTCAAACAATCATTCAAAGATAAAAAAAATACATTGATGAATTAATCTTTAGTACCCCTCCCCCCACCAAAAAAAAATAAATACAGCTAGTCAGCTTAATAGAAAAATGACCAAACAAATTTTTTTTTATCCCCCCTCCCCCCACCAGCTGAAAGGAGTCAGTTTTTTAAAGGCAGTGCTTTAATGCCTTTCTAGTTGCCGGGTTAATCCTTCCTTCCGCGATATCCAACTTATCTACGTGGGGGGTCATTAGACTCTAAGTAGATCCGGAAATGTTGAATTCTCTCCTCTTCTTATTGCGATATAAAATGTTTTTTGTTTCATTTCATTTACATTGGGAAATAGAGAAACGATCATTGTGTTTTGTTAGTTTTAAAAACTTTTGATATATTAGTATTTTGCATTATAAGCAGTCAACCGATTGACAAACTAGAATTATTTGAATTCCGTGTGGAAAGAGCTCGGGTTAATTTCGAGTGTTATCTGCAATCTAGATGTTTATAAATCATTTCAGTCGTTGATATAATAATTAAAGGTCGACTGAACATGAATTATATTATACAATTTAAAGCGCATTTTTGTTTATGCACGTGAACCCGTCTAACGTTATTTTCGCAGTTATATAAAGTAGCAAATTATCGTTCCTGAATAGGTGGCGCCGTGGTAGCGGATCCTGTTCCTCTTCTTCCGGTTTCTGCACTGTGCAACTATTTCAGTTATATTTTTAATTAACGATGCCAAGTACTTGTTGTTGTGTACCTGGATGTCATTTAAGAGGAGGACATGCATTTCCAAATGACTTAAAAAGAAGGAAAAGTTGGATCAACGCCATGGCCCATACGCAGATTGGACGAGAACACGATGATATCGTGGAGTCCATCTCAATCAGCTGTTGTTTGCAAGGCACGTTTTACTGAAAAATACTACGTGCAGGAAACTATTCATGGTAAAACTCTATTTTCTTTGTGAAATATATAGTTATATATGTAATCGCCATGCGAATAAACCAAAGTCTGTTTACAACCGCAATTATCGTTTTAGAATAAAAGGGGGTGGTAATTCAAGACGTCATAATTTTTTGGATTACGATTCAATGTGATCTGTTTGAGATTTTTTGGTGATTGCTACAATTATAATGATTTCTTACAAGAGGTATATCATACTGAGAATTATTTTAGCAGTAATTATGCTAATGCAGTAATGACAGGAATGCATAAGCTATGCCTCATAGACTTTCTTGAAAAATATCAATGACAATGTTAACAGGAACAAAACAATGACATGCTCTCATCTATATTATAGTTATTAGGTACAAACAATGTACGTTTGTTGCATAAGTCTCTCATTGTTTGTCCTTTGGATTTACATAACATACATTGAATCAGGCAAACATAGTTTTATCCAGATTGTAATGAATAAATCTAGTTAATATTTCGCCAGGTAGTACAAAGTATACATTGCTAATGGAAGTTCATTTAATTATAAAAAAACTAATGTTTTATAACCTTTTTCAGGGCGCAAACCCACCATACAGAGACTTAAGTCTACTGCAATTCCCAGCCTATCTTCCTGGACCAAGCAAGAGACTGAATCGTCCGCAAAAAGAAAAATCAGGGCAGTTTCCTGTGAAAACAAAAGAACTAAACTTGATGAATATTGTAGTAGAAATCTAGAGGAAAGTTTTGATTGTAAAGTTGGTTTTCCTGAAGAAGTCATTCATACTGCAGAAAGGATTTATGGCTGTCCACCACCAACTGCCGAGCTAATGTTGAGCTTCACAGATGGAATTACGCAAACACCATCAATGCCTATGTTTTTAACAGAGAATTTTGAAATGAAGACACGTGACACAGCCATGCATTTTTATACCGGTTTAGAGTTGTATACTAAATTTTTATTTGTTTTGACCACACTTGGTCCAGCAGCACATTGTTTGAGATACATATATTTTCAAATTGATAGGGTGTCAGTTGAAAATCAGTTTTTTTATGACTTTGATGAAATTGAGACATCATACAACCAACTTTGAACTGTCTAGATTCTAAATTGAATCTAGTGTTAAGAATATTGTGTATACATGGATTGTTTTTATGTCTAAACAGTGGTGTGAGGCTAACACTTGGCCATCTAGTGGTTTAGTCAGGTATTTTTCACCATCCAACTTCAAATTAAAGTTTCCTACGACTTGGATTATTATTGACAGCACAGAATATCCCGTGATAAAACCTAAAGCTCCTAGAGCTCAGGCTACCTTTTCATCAAATAAAAACAGAAACACTGAAAATTCTTGAATGTTCGACACCTGGTGGTTTAGTCAACTATGTCTCTATGTCACATAGAGCGAATTATTGGACTTGGCAAAACATACAAAATTCTAATAAATCCTATGAATGGAACTGAAACAAAACTTTCATCTGAAATAACATTTAGTTGTTTTATGTTGTGTAATTTGGACATGGCAAAACATACAAAATTCTTATAAATCCTATGAATGGAACTGAAACAAAACTTTCATCTGAAATAACATTTAGTTGTTTTATGTTGTGTAATTTTAGAACTTGTATTGTGCCAAAGGATGCATAAATAAAAGTGACGCAATGAATTTTGTTCTGATATATATATATTTACAATTACATGCACATGTAAATTGTAATGCATACAAAAATAAGGAGATGTGGTATGATATTCAGTGAGTTTATCAAACTAAAGTGCATAAGAAATGGGTTTAAGCAGTTACAGGTGTTACTGTCACCGTACAATCTCCAACAATGAGAAAAACTCGTACCCTGTAAAAAATTTCAGAGATCTTACAACTAAGTTTTGTTGTCTCACCTTGACTTTGGTGATTTTTTTTATATCTGTTGATGTAAATATAAAAAAGAAGATGTGGTATGATTGCCAATGAGACAACTCTCCACACATGCACAAGAGACCAAATGACACAGAAATTAACAGCTATAGGTCAAGTACGGCCTTCAACAATGAGCAAAGCCCATACCGCACAGTCAGCTATAAAAGGCCCAGAAATGACAATGTAAAACAATTCAAACAAGAAAACTAACGGCCTATTTTATGTAAAAAAATGAACAAATATAACAAATATGCAACACATAAACAAACGACAACCACTGAATTACACTTTTATAGGCTTCTGACTTGGGACATGCACATACATGTACATACAGAATGTGGCGGGCTTAAACATGTTAGCAGGATCCCAACCCTCCCCCTAACCTGGGACAGTGGTGTAACAGTACAATATAAGAAAGAACTATAAAAATCAGTTGAAAGAGGCTAAACTCATCAGATGGATAAATACAAATACAAGTGGACGTGGTCGGGTAGTTGTTCATCCAAACAACATAAAGACACTAAGTACAAATCTGAGAGTACTCGCCGTTACTGACAGCTAGTTCAAAGCCACTAACAACTGATAAAAAAATCTTGCATCTAAGACTAAATTATCAATCCGTAAGCTCCCTTTAGAATTTTATAAATAAATTAGATTTTACATTTCTGAGTTATGGGGTTTTATTCATTAAAAAAGGGGGGATTTTCCAGTTTTTGGACAACAACTCAAAAATGCTTTAAGCAGTTCACATGAAACTTTGGTGAATTATTTATAGCTATTGATGTAATCTCCCTATTGATTTTCATAAATTTCAAATATGACATTGAGAAGAAATTGAACTTTATTTGTTTATAGTCTGGCAACAGATTTATTAAGTATTGCACAACAGCACAGTGTATTGCACAACAGCAAGAAATCTTTAATTGAATATAAATTCAATTCATATAACCGATTTCAAGTTCATTGACTACATTTATTCAGAAACTATAATATGTCAAATATTTAATTACAATCCAAATTCAGACCTGTATCAAGCTTGAATATTGTGTCCATTTTTGCCCCAGCTGTTCAGGGTAGTACCTCTGCGGGTGTATCCAGCTGCGCTCAGCGAATCAGTTTATTTCTTAATTAAGAACTCCTTTTTATACGACCGCAAAAAAATTTTTGTGGTCGTATATTGGTATGACGTTGGCGGCATTGTCGTCCGAAGACACATTAGTTTTCGCACTCTAACTTTAGTTAAAGTGAATGGATCTCAATGAAATTTTAAAATAAGGTTCAATACCACAAAAGGAAAGTGGGGATTGATTTTGGGGGTTATGGTACCAACAGTTAAGGAATTAGGGGCCAAAAAGGGGCCAAAAATAAGCATTTTTGTAACTTCCAGACATAACTTGTGTGTAAGTGTATGGATCTCTCTGACATTGTACCACAAGGTTCCATATCACAAAGGGAATGCTGGGATTGATTTTTGGGGGTAATGGCCTCCAAATTTTAGGAATTAGGGGCCAAAAAGGGGCAAAAAACAAGCATTTTTCTAGTTTCATGACAATAACTTGTGTGCAAGTCTATGGATCTCTCTGACATTGTATCACAAGGTTCCATATCACAAAAGGAATGCTGGGATTGAATTTGGGGGTAATTGCCTCCAAATTTTAGGAATTAGGGGCCAAAAAGGGGCAAAAAACAAGCATTTTTCTAAGTTTCATGGCAATAACTTGTGTGTAAGTGTATGGATCTTTATGAAATTGTACTACAAGGTTCCATATCACAAAGGGAAAGCTGGAATTGAGTTTGGGGGTAATTGCCCAAAAAGTTTAGGAATAAGGGGCCAAAAATAAGCATTTTTCTAGTTTCCACACAATAACTTGTGTTCAAGTGTATGGATCTCTCTGAAATTGTACTGCAAGGTACCATACCACAAAGGGAATGCTGGGATTGATTTTGGGGGTAATTGCCTCCAAATTTTAGGAATTAGGGGCCAAAAAGGGGCAAAAAACAAGCATTTTTCTAGTTTCATGACA